TCATTACAACAACAGAGCACCTTACACCTACAGAGCATGTAATACTCTGAGAAAAGCTGTTGTTGTGTATTTTGTGATATGTTGATATTTACCATTGCCAGATGACTGACAGCAGCAGAGGCAGACAGACAGAGATTTTCTGTGTGTGTGTGTGTGTGTGTGTAAAGGCGGTCTTCTGCTGAGGAGGGGAGATAAGGACTCTATCTTAATGGCTTCTCTCGTCTGCCACTCAGCCATCAGACAGAGATTTCCTCTCCCTCAGTCCAGATAAACACACTTCACAACCTTGTCACACGTCTTGCACAAGCCAAAGAGAGAAAGAAAGGAAGTGAATGAGAGATGGGCAACCATAGAGATCCATAAAGGAATACTTCACCCAAAAATTTATATTCTGTCATAATTTACTCACCCTAATGTAATTTCAAACATGTATGACTTTCTTTCTTCTGTAGAACACACAAGGAGAAATGTGTAGGAATGTGCTGCCCACTCTTTTCCATACAATGAATATGAGGTACTGGAGTTTTCAAGTTTCAAAAGAAACATATAAATATCATAAGTGGACCATATGACAAGCCAATCAGTTGTGAATTTCACAGATTTCTCAGTTTTATTGTAGGTTTTTCACTGGTTTCGTTATACTGGATGAACCAATTCAGTGAAAAGAACCAAAAAAAAAGAATTCAGTTTAGAGTTCAGAGAAGATTTTAAAAATTGCATTAAAAAATCATGACATGAGGGTGAGTAAATGATGACAGAATTTTTATTTTGAGAATAAAATGAAGTGAAATGCGTGATTTTGAACCACATTATTTTATTCTGTTTGGTTTCGGTAAATTATAAAAAATACTGATGGGCTTCAGGAAACTGAAGAACTTCCCTGATTTTGCCTCTTAGGGGGTAATAGCTGAACTCTAGCTGTGTGTGTGTGTGTGTGTAACAGTGTATGGGAATTGTTTACTGCCTGTCTGTGTCAGACGCTCACTACTCGGGGCCTCTAATGCAGCACAGCTGTGAGGGGGCTTGGACACTACACATCTGCTGAAGGGACCTATTGTGTGTTTGCGTGTGCTGGATGAATGTATTTGTAGAGATAAACAGATAAAGACCGTACACACGTGCACGTATGTTTCTGTACATTTGTAACTTTTTTTTTTTTGCATGCATGCAAATAACCTGCTTGAACATAAGTGTGCTGTGCAGTTCAATTCTCACATAAAAGCCCACAGTTAGAAAAGTGAAGCTTGTAGATTTGTCGGAATTGAGCGAATCAGCCCATCTGGAGAGTTTGAACCTTGAAAGCACCTGCCTTCTCCATTCACGCTCCCGCTCTCTTAAAAAGCCATCTTCATCAATAGCAGCTTTTAAAGTGGATGAAACTGTTTGGAACTGCTCTTTATTCCTGTTCTGATGGATTTTCTGCTCTCCGTCTTTGTCTCACTGGCTGTTGTTGATGTTATTTCAACTCTTTTTTTTTATTTTCATCTATTTCTCCATCACCTTGCAGCCTTGACTCGAAAGATCGTTCAAATGTTTAACTACAGATAATTGCTACCTGAGAGAAGCTAATTAATGTGCCGCTTGCTCTTGTGTGTATGTGCGGATTTGAATGTATTTATGTGTGTACATTTTATTCACTATATTATCTCGCCTTTGAAACATCTCTACAATATCCTGTCTTCTGCCACCACTTTGTATTAGTGCTTTTTAAGGCAAGCACTGCTATTACTACTGCTCAAACTTGGGGTTAGAGGTTTAAACAAACCCTTAACCCCTTGTATTAAACTTTGGCAAGTATGTTGTCTAGCACAGTATGTGCTTCGGACATAAATGAAATTGTGCGGCTTGTTTAGTAGTATGTTTCTAAACAGATGGTTTTTGTTAGGTGGATGATTAATCTGGCGAACAATTCCCATATATTTAGATTGACTCTAGCATCATGACTGACTTTTCACATTTAAACACCATGCATTTTCATCAGAAATTGTTCTCAGAAAAGAAACTAAGGAGCCGTTCACACAGAATGTGTTTTTCAATTCCATTTCACTTATTTTCAATTGGTTTTCTATGTAAACACATGCTAGACCGACGTATTTGACCATTGGACTCGTATCTCAGGCGCAAAGCAAAGCAAAAACATGAGGTCCCAAATCACATACTTATTCACTATTCTATGACGATTTGTAGTATAAATAGTGTGAGTAGTGTGTTCACACTGAAAATTCCAAAAAGAAAAAGTGCACTTTAAATACCTGGATGATGCACTTAACTGAAAAAACAAAGTGTGGAATATTGGACACTTCATGCACTGTCACAGCTTTAATTACGTTGCGAAGGGGGAGGGGCTATCTGACTGTGATTATTAATGACTAAATAACCTTATAAAATTCATACACTACACGGCTGAGTACATAGTGCATAAGTACATAGTGTATAGTGTGTAGTGCGTCATTTGGGACGCAGTTATGTTCTGTGTGAATGCCCCCTAATTCTGTTTTATACATGTATAATATATTACATAGCCTATATACACACACAGAGAGAGAAAAAACACTGTTATTTGTATTTATCAGGGCCATACAAGTCTACAGTCCTAGCAGAGGTCAGGCCAGGTCGGTGTGTCTTGAACATTGTCATGCTGCTAACAATTTCCTCAGTGATCAACAGGAAAATGCACAAATAATGTTACCACAATGCTCTAACTACATTATTACAGTTTGTGCTGGAGAGGTCAGGGCACAGTGCTATTCTGAGTTCACTAACTTACTCAATAAATTGGATTACATACCAAACATTATATGATTTTTTCATTCTTATCGTAAATTAAATACCATACAAAGAGATTGTTTGTTGTAAATATTACCATGACTGCAGGAGACATATAAAGGAAATATGATTAATATTTACATGCATGTGTGTACAAGTTCACAAACGTACACTAAGGCCCAATCCCAATTCTACCCCTTAGCCCTTCCCCTTTCCCCTACCCCTCCGTTTCGCGCGTTCACGTGAAGGGGTAGGGGTATCTCAATTCTCTTTTGGTTGGAGGGGTAGGGGTAGGGGAAGGGCCAGACAGCCCTTCAAACGAAGATTTTTCGGGACCACACTTCAAACGAAGGGGTATGAATTATCTCAGCGTAAACCGGCTTCAGCGGCAACATGGCTGCCCGAGCGAACAAAAAGACACATAAATGTAAGCATTTTTGGCATTAATAAAGATTTTAACGAAAAGTAATCATTTGTTTTACGTTACGTTCAATCGTGAGTTCATATTTATGGTCATGTTACTCAAAGAAATGTTTGCAAAAAATCGCTAAAGTTTGCTAACGCCACAACATATTTTCATGTCTGATCAGGGCCACTGTAACCACTGTAGACATTGAGGGGGGCTAGTCCCCCCAATAATTAGAAATCGCTAAACCCTTTTCTCAAATATTGCCAATAAGAGAGAGAGAGAGAGAGAGAGAGAGAGAGATGAAAGTTGCGTTTATGCGCGTCTGTGCATTTCTCTTTATAGAGTGAGTTTACTTCAAAAACAGCGATTTTATCCTCTCATTGCTGGAAAATATAATGTAGCGATTCAGTATTTAAACTCTTATTAATAAAAGTCGTGGGGCAGCGTTGACAATTTTCTTTTCTCCTGGATGTGTGAGCTGCGCGATCTCCGATATATATATATGTGTGTGTGTCAGTAAGCAGTGCATATAGAATGATAATTAAAGGCTCTAATGCACACCAGCACACCAGTATAGGTGTGTGTATTGTAGGAGCTAGACGACGTATGATGACGTGTGACGGCATAGTAGTGGTGTCCCAATTCTTAGGGGAATATTTTCACCCCTACCCCTTGACACTCTGTTTCAAGGGACAAGGGGAAGGGGAGGGGGTATAAAATAGAATTGGGATTGGGCCTAAATGTGTCTGCAGTATGTTCAGAAGGTGGACAGCAGTGTGTGTGTGTATGTGTGAGGAGGCTGAGAAAGACTGACACTCTGTTTAAAGTTCAGCGTTAAAGTCTTGCTGCTGTATTTCAATCTGTCAGACGTGCTTTCCTCCGTTTAGAAGAATAGTTCGTTCTCTCTCTGTCTATCTCTCTCTCTCCCCTTCTCTCTTTCTCTGTAATAAAGAGTGACAGGGGCCGTGTGTTAATTACACTATGAAAACACAAAGCATAGAGCTCGCTTGAAAACTCAGACGTATTTGTATGTGGTTGATGTACACATGCTTTTTTTGTCATTCATCTCAATTTGATGAAATTCAATCTAAAAGAGGTTTGCTGGTCCATGCCTGTTCAATAATATTTTTTTTCTTACATCTTTTTTTAGTTTTTGCATTTAGTTTTTACTTTTTTGGTTTTATGTGTGTTTGTTTGTTTAGATTTTGTTCTGTTTTGTTCTTGTTTGATGTTTGAGTAAAAAAAGTTGTCAAACTTATGAATGACGTGACCATTTTATGTGGCTTAACTGAGTAGTGTGTGTGTGTGTGCGTGCACTTAGTTATACTTTTAAAACAAAACAAGTAATTTTGCCAGCCTGGTTTCAGACATCTGGGGACATCTTAAAATGGAAAATGATTCATAAATTTGGCAAATGCATTTTTTTTTTCCTAAAACTGAAATGTTCCTTTTATGCTTAGGGATTGTCTGTAGTAATTAATATTATCTTTATGTAAAAACAATAGAAGCCTATGATACTGAACATAAAGATAAGCAAAGTGTGTGTGTGTGTGTGTGTGTGTGTGTGTTTGATCATAAGTGTGTGCGTTTGATCAGAAACACAACAGAGGGACACTGTGGCTGAAGGAAGGGGGCAGTGCTGCTGCATGTGTGTGTATGTGTGTGTGTGTGAGTGTGAAGCTGCGCTCAGCGCTACACCATGTCATGCTCTGGCCCTTTAAGAGGCGATCTAGCAGCATAGAGCCATAGAGAGGGGTGGAGAGAGAGAGAGAGAGAGGGGAGGGAGTGCGAGTTCGGCGTTTGAGAGTGTGTGTGCAGCGGAGAGAAACAGAAACAGTCTTTGGTTTTGCGAGAGGTTAGAGGAGCACCAAGCAGCGTGTGCGTGTATGTGTGTGTGTGTTCTCGGAGGTCCCCGGGTGTCGGACGCGAATGTTATCGTGGAAGGACTCCTGCATCTCAGACCCCTTGTTTCAGCATGCTTACTGAGCCTGAGCTTCCTCAGGAGTTTAACAGGTACGTTCACACACTCGTGCACGAGACGCTCACTTTTCCAAGCCGTGCCGGGAGGAGGAGAACGAGGGACAGGCAGATGAGCAGGAGAGAGTGTGTGTGTGTGTTAGTCTAAGAAACAGACTTTGTTAGTTTGTTTGGCATGTTTGAGGCTGGCTGTGTGTGAATGTGTCTGCGGTTTAGAAAAGAGAAGAAAGTTCAGTGTGACTGCGAGATGTGTGTGTTTTCTACTGTTTTCTCTGTGAGCATGGGACGCTGGGACTGTCTTCTCTATATCCTACTTTGAAACAAAGTTGTAAATGTCTCTAGTGTTTTTGTCTAACAGGTTACATGCTGTCGATGTGTGTGTGTTTTTCTATCGCCCTATAAATACACACACAGATATATATATATATATGTATGTGAGTGTGAGTGTTAGATGGTGTTTGATAAGGGTCGGTGCTCTCCCGTCAGTGTTTCCCTGGCGCAACCTCTCTTTTTTTTGCTCATGTTTCACTTCAGGGTAACACGATTGGCAACTAAAACACAGAGCATTTCACTTCTGTACGACTTTCTTGCTTCACAAAGCCTTTTTTCCCATTTGTCTGTGTTGTTTTAATCTTGTTTATGTTGTTTTGGTGTTTTATTGTGGCCAGATGTCTGCATTGGCCTTCTGTTGTGGTGGTCCGAGGTGGGAAATGTTCTCACCTACTTTAATATGTCAACAAAAGTGGCTTTGCTGCTGAATAAAGAGGGTTTGACTTTAAAGCTCCATAGGGAAGATTACACATAATACTCGTTTTTAATGCAAGCTTCACCCCGATACACACACACGTTTTTTTTATTGCATTAGAGCACTGCACTGTTTTACCAGATGAAACTAATCTTTTGTTCAGCGATAAACTCTGGGGTTTTATCCCTGAATTAAGAACAAATTTATACGTCAGGAAAATGTGTTTTTAATAAATCATCACGCTCTATCTGGGGGGAGGGCGAGGAGGGGGGCAGAAAAAGATAACTATGAGGAATTAAACATTTAAAGGATTACATAGGAAAGCAGAATGTATAGTGATAAATGCAGGGATTACAATGACTTAGAAGAAAAGGATGGTTAAACTCTACTTTCCAGTAATGCTGGCTGTCAGTGGTTAAAGAGCATGAAACGGAGTGTGTGTGTATGTGTGTGAGGATGGGAGCGAAAGCGCAGTGTTTGTCCGTGTAGAGTGTATGTGTGTGTGTCTCTTCTGTCCTGATGCTGAATGTTTTTGAAAAACCGTAAGTCTGCTTTTATTCTTAATTAGTGCATAGAAAAAGTTTTACTGACATGAAGCAAGGAAATAATGAGACCTATAAAAAATGAAATTATAATGTCTGATGGTGATACAAAGTAATTTATAATTGTTGTTTGTATGTTGACATCGTAGATCACTCATCTGATGAATGATTAAATTAAAAAAGATTCACTTAAATTTAATTTTGTTTTCATTTTAAAATTAGCACACTGTAAAGTGCAAGAGATTTTGTTAAAAAATGTGATAGTAAGAAAATTGACTTTTGATTAATTTATTAAGAACATTTCCTGTTTGGTGTAGTTTATTTTATATATTTGACATCTACAAATACAGAACTATGAAGTGTTTTTCAAATCATCTGTACTACAAAACAGTAGTAGATAATTATACGAAATGTTGCTTTGCTTAAAATATTTGTTAAATCTTCATCCTAAATATTTTAAATATATAATAATATAATAATTCTAATTAATAATAATAATAATATAAATATTAAAATATTGTATATTATTATTATTATTGTTATTCGTATTATTGGAGTGGTGATTTGGGTGAGTTTAGCTTTATTGGAGGAGCACAGAGGAGATTCTATGGCCAAACTGTCACATTCCTCAAAGAGAGAGAGAGACAGCGATTGAGTGAGGGAGGGGGAAAGGGGACTTTAACACTTCTCCATTTGTCTCCCTCCTTTAATGGATGGTTGTGTTACATCTCACTCTCTCTCTCGCTCTTTCTCTGTCTGTCTGTCTGTCTCTGGGTCAGTCAATTCTTCCTGGTAAAGATGCACAGAAAACAGTTTGTTCACCACTAAGCATGTGTGATTGAACTAGCTGGTGACAAATGTGGCTGATGCGTTTCAATTTTTGTTTCCTCTGCGTCAAAGAGAAAACCGATTAAACCACCAAGCCTGCCTTTACCTCCGTCACATTAACACATACTACTTGCAAGCTGCTTTATAGCATACGCAAAGTGTGGCATTATTTAGTTGAAGGAGTGTTTATGTACTTGGATATAGAGACAAAATTGTCCCCAGAAGTGAGAAAATCTTCCTTTGGAGAACATTCAGAGACCTTGTCATTTGAAAAAAAAAAAAGATGAGTAAAGAATGTGGTTTTTAATATGTATATACTAAAAATGCAAATGGTTAAGGTTGGAGTTAAGCTATAGTGTTTATAATTAGCTTTATATAAACACAATTGAAGTCTGTGGTTGAGGGACTATATTAAGACTCTATATTCAGGGGACCAAATGACTGTTGTGGTGACCAGGTAGTCCCTTAAGAAAAACAGCTTAGTAAACATAATAAATATTGTCTAAATATAAATTTAGAAAGGGTTATATCGGGTTTAGGGGAAAGAAAATATCTTGGCTTTGTAGAAAAAAAGTCAACGGAAAGTCTCCATAGTGATAGAAAAACAAACATTTGTGTGTGTGTGTGTGTGTGTTCTGTCTGATTGATGGAGGTTCTGGATCTTCTCTCTGGGTCATTCATTGCAGACTGGCTCCATTGTGTAGTCCGTGTTATGAGCACTCGCAGCGGCTTGATAACCGTGTCTCCATGAAAAAAAGGAGGGTCAGCAGAGAAGAATGCTGAAGTGTTTCCTCCTCCCCCTTCAGAAGTCTTCCCAGACCTCCCCTGTGCGATCAGCTGACCATTGGGACGTCTGCTAAGACTGAGGGGAACTGAGTCCTTTTTAGGTTAAAGTCTTATTTATCAAGTCCGAGAGGATAATAACACAAAACAGTATGACGACAGGTCAGAGGTGACGGCCTAGACAATTGCATCATGGGAAGGATAATAAAAATCAATAGACTGCTTAGCAAAATGCTGCTTTTTTTCTATCCAGTCCCTCAAGCTGTATAATAACGGCTCTGTACTTGCAGGTAAAGGAGGAGTCTGGGTGGAAGACTGTGTTGCATATGCCTGTTACACCCAATTTGTTGTTGTACAGGCCTGTATGAATGGAGTAAATTATACCAGCACCCGTTTTCACAGCCGCCCGGGGCTTCTGGGAGCAAATCACGATGGTTAAGCATTTGACAGGGGCTTCATATTCACAGACATTCACACACACTAAAAGAAGACAAGCAGAGGCTGAGAAAGCTTTCATAGAAGTTTCAAGTGTGTGTGTAATATGTAAAATGTCACTAGAAACATGAGTCAGTCCAGAGAAATAAATAATTAGAGATGAGAGATGACAGGAAACTATGCAGACAGATGAAGTGATGATTAAAATACTGGCAACCCCCCCACCCCTCTGTATGTGTATGAGTGTGTGTGTGTGTGTGTTGATGCAGCAGTTGCCTTGGTGCTGTGGGCACAGCGTTCACTGGTGCCTTGTGTCCACCCAGCGGCAAACACACACCATTGCTTATTATGCGTTTGTGTGTGCGAGCGGGCTTGTTTTCACTTTGCTCATATGACTTTTGATTTTGTGTGCGTGTGACTTCACCTCCATGTCTAAACAGTAATGGCTGACAGTGACATTAGGCTCTGTGTTCTTGCCTTTTGTGGTGACGCTGGACAGGAAATTGGGGTGGCCCTGCAGCCCTCACGACAGAGGGAAAAACAGAGACGGCATTGTGTTTTCTCTAAGTACGTGTGTGAATAATGTGTGTATTTAGAGACACGTACACTTGTGTGAAATTATTATTCACCAACTTTAAGGGAGGGGGGTAGACTTTTTAAAGAAGTTTCTATGAGTGATTTTTCAAGGAAAATCTTTTTAGCACAATTAGCTAGCCATCAGCTATCTTAAAGACATTGTAAACAAATCTGAAAAAGTTTTTTGTGAGAGATTAGTGATGTGTAAATCTAAATAAAGTACTCAAATTTTTTTATTTTTTTTTTACAAATTCCAGTAATTTTCTGCTACTATTTAGTGCTGCAGTGTTACTAAAATGGTTTGTACGTTAATAAAACATTTTCACTTCTTTTCTTATTTTTTAGCATTGGTGCATGGAAACTTGATCTTTATACTATGTTTTGGTAAATTAACCCCCCACATAAAAATCCAAGTGCCATCACAGCAGCAGCGAACGCTGTGATTAGTGATTACAGCGTGAACGATGAAGAGCCCTCACAAGTTTGCACTACAGATGAATTTACTTCAGCGGAGTCGCTCTCTCTGACTCTCTCTTCGCTTCCGCTCCTCTGCCGGCCGCTCCATTCCCACAGAGAGAAAAATTGAGAGAGCTATAAATAGCTGTAAAGTAATATACTTAAAAGACTGTTCAAAACAGAGAGAGTCGGGCACAAATGGTTGATTGTGCAAAAGGGGGACGTCCTGACGGGACTATCTGCGACTTTATCGTCCTGGGAACAGAAGATAAAGAGTAGAGAGAGGGATGAGCACTTCTCCTAATGTCTGAGTGGATTGTGAGGTATTCTCGGTTTCCTACCGAAGGCATCGCTGTTGTTATCTGTGCTGAACGGGCTGATTGTCTGAACTTTTGGACACACTTCGTTTCATTCCCACACTCTGATAACAAAGAAGAGCTGACCTCCCTAATCAGATAATCATATTACACAGGAATTTACCTTCACCATGTGTAATGATGTTTTTATATTTTTTAAGGGAGCATAATGCATCAGAAAATTTTTTTTGTGAGAAATGTCTAAATATGCTTTAGAGATATATGGCACTGTTTGTGTTGATTTACTTCAGATATTCCCCACAAGTGAGCTACTGTAAATCTGACAAAACCTTACTTGGGGAATTTCCGGGGATGTCGTTAAAAATAAAAATAAATATTTTGTTAATGTGTATATATATTGTAATTTTATTCTAAAGTTTTATTCAAAGGCAACAGTGTTGCATAAAATAATGCTAATTAATATTATTAGCATTATATAAAAACAACAAAATGTGTCTATCTTGACTTTTTCAACCACGCTCTGTGTATCTGAATGCTTTTTATCGTAGGTATGCGGGCAACATCCGCAAAGCATCATCATGCAAGTTTTTCCGTGGGCCGCACATCCGAGTGTGTGCGTATGTGACACGTTTAGCCTCTAAATTATGTCCTGTCATTAGAGGCACTTCTGGAGTGTTAACCACTGCTGATGGTGATTAGGTAAAGCTCCTAGATTCAGTATTTAAAGTGCAGCTCCACTCCGCTGTTTAATGGACCCTGTATTTTGGACGATTAGCGTCTGCAGAGAAATGTACATGTGATATGAGAGGGACTTAGGAGAGCGCTCAATCTAAGCTCAAAGGGGAAGTGTGCCTTTAATCTGGGCTTAATGCACGCAGTCTGTGGGAGGGGGCAGAGCGGCGCACCAGTGGGGTGGCCATTAGCTTTTAACGATTAGCCGTGAAAGTTAGCCTCTAGACCTGCAGTTCAACTGCGATGGGACGGGGTGTGAATGCTGAAGTTTCTGAAATATACAAAAAAGTGATGGCAATTTCTTTGATAATACACCCCGAACTGGAAAATACTGCTGTTTGGAGATTATACTGCCATCATTTGTGTTCCTACATAAGTGTGTGTTTAGTCACCTCACCCGTATCTGCACATTCGGCTTTGATATTTGAGGCTGTTTATGAATAACATAATTCTTTGCCTTGTGAAAATAAAAGCCAATAAAGTTATTAATCCACCAGATAATGAGTGAAGACCGCTGTTAAAGTTTACAATGCAAATAAGCAGACATGACTAGCCTGTAAGGAAGTCTTAGCTTCAGAGACCATTCTTTGTGCGTCTGTGTTGTGTTAGCGAGTGTGTGTGTGTGTGTGTGTGTCAGTGGACAGGGTCTGTGTGTTTGGCAGGCCGGCCTTTATTGGAACCACAGAAGGATGGAGTGAAATTATGCTAATGGCTGCTAATTATGACCTTGGAGACCAGCTTTTCTGCCAATTTATCTGCTTAATAAAACCCTCTCTTTTTTTAATCCCAACATCTCGACAAGCTTTAAATGTTTCATGTAGACTCTCCACCACGACAGGTCTGCCAACTTTAAATGAAATAGTGGCTATAACCTGCTCACCCAGAGAGCGGAATTGTATAGTAATTATACTTCAAAGGCTCGCAGGAAAATAGACATTTTATTACTCAAGAGGAGCTGTGAAAAGCTTCTGTCAGTGGGCCGGCAAGGAAGTAGGGAAGAAAGAGGCAAAAGGAAGAATGCGTGAGACAGGGAAAAAGCGGAAAAGAGATGCAGACGTGTCTAAAGGTACGCACAGATATGAATGACGGAGGTATATTTATTTTAAAAAATGCACTCACCTGAGTAATTTTTGTGAGAAATATTGCCTTGAGAATGTCCAATTCCACTAAATGATTGCGGTTCCATTAACGATTCTTTTTGTCACTTTTTTGGAAGTTTTTTTAATTATATACTGAACAAACATTATTTTTGTTTTCCTATTTTAATTTTTACAAATGTTTTTTTATTTAATACAAATCTGTTCTAAATTTGTCTCTTTAACTACTAGCTTTCCAGCTATTCATTATGCTGATTTAAGTTTCACGAGCCTTAACTAAACAGTTATTAAACGCCAGTTCTCGGGTTCGAGTTGGATGTGACAAGCAATTTGCTGGTTCCAATAAGAACTGGTTCTCGATTGCCTATGAGGGTTGTGTGTGTCTTTGTTGGTCCTGATGTGTGTTTTGGGGGTTGGTGTGTTAGAGAAAGCGGCACAGAGGTGTGTGTGTGTGTGTGTGTCGAAGTGAAACAAAAGGGCCCACTGTGTGTGAGTGTCTGGAGGTAGAGTAAACACAGTGCTGGTGGAGGGGCAGACAGGTCGTGCGGCTCTGACGGCCCAAGTGCAGTTTATACAGCTGCACTGACTGCTTTTACTGCCCCAGTGTGAACCAGCATAAAGCCAAGGTACCCCACACACACACGTTCACATTCATACAGCTAAATTAACGCAGATATAGTGACTAATACAACTGTACGTATTACACACCTGCGTTAGTGTTTGTTATGACAGAGCAGTTGCTGTCAGGCTCTAGCTGTATGACATCTGCATCATAGTTTATCATTTAACTCTTCATTCCATCTCATCTATACAGTTAGTCGAAGCATGTCTTCATTGTTTCTGTAGCCGCCAGCCTTGGGTTTGATTGAGGTGAGTCTTATTCATCCCGTCCAGACGGTTAGAAACGTTATATGATGTTTGTCTTTACAGCTAATCTAAACCAAATAAGCAGTAAATGAGAGAAAGAGAAACCTTAGCAGCGCTCAGGAGCTCCGCCAGATGTGGCGTCTGAGTCAGACCAGGGCTATGAGAATACCATACAGTTCAGCACACGCAACCTGGACTGTACCGAGACTGCGGATGCTAGTTGATGAAAGATAATCGAGGTTAAAAAGTAACCTCTCTATTGCACTGACTTCGTGCTGTATATTAGACAAATTTTTCTACCTCTGAGCATAAAATATATTAAGTAATTGTGAGATAAAGGGTAAAAAAAAGAAATAAAGTTGTAAAGTGTAACAGTGAGCTATAAAGTCAGTTATAAAATCACATTTGAGCAGTTGCGGGATATGAAGTGACATTATGAGATATGAAATCGCAATTATGAGATTTAAACTTGCATTGTGAAAAAAGTTGCAATTACAGGAAACAAAGTAGCAATAACATCACAATTGTGAGAAAGTCATTATTATGGGAAAGTCACAATTGTGAGCGTGATATTGAAAGATAAAGTAATGAGTCAAAGTTATGAGTCATAAAATTATGAGTCGTAATTGTAATTCTAAGAGTCCAAATTGTGAGACTTAAAAAATAAAACAAACTGTGAAATATAAAGTTGCCATTGCAATAGTCGCAATTATGAAATACACTGTAAAGTCACAATACTGAAAAATAAAATTACACTTGTGAGATATAAAATCATTTATGAAAAATAAATCATTCATCATTTACAATTATGAGGAATAGTCACAATTGTGAGTTGAAATTACGCAAAATCAATGTGTATGTAGTATATATTTTAATAATTATTATATATAGTATATTGAATGGGCTTCCATAACTTTGCTTATAAAACAGCTTCTGGGGGAAAGCAAAGTTACTACAACACTGCAATCAAATAAAATTTGTTTGCCAATTCTTTTAGTTACAGAGTAGGAGCAAATAAAAGTACTTCTCTCCATCTCCCTTTATCCTTGTCTGTCTTTTTCTCTTAAAAGAGTGGTACTTATTCCCCAGGGCCATAGTAACACTAGCCTCAAGGCTGAGAAGCGTCTATGAAAGCACTTAGGCAATGCCGTAAGCCAGATGAAATCTTATTACGAGAGCATATTCATTTTTCCTTCCCGTGCATTGTGGGGGAGAGAGTTCATTTAATAAATGCTTTTTCTTCCTGATGGTATCAGAGGAACACGGACCGTCATCAAGGCCTATTTTCTCTGGCATTGTCAACACCATATACACTGTCATTAACATCTACTGTGGCACACACGCTCACGCACACACCATTGTCTGTCTGTGTTCTTGGCTAACGTGATATTTGATGTGTGCTGGGCCGTCTGCACTTTTCTTTAATGGGCCGCTCGAGTCTTTACATCAAACAGGCTGGCTAAACACATTGTGTGCGGTGCTGCTACAGTAAATGGCTCTGTGATAGTGTAGGTGGGACGTCTCTTTGATGGAGGGATGGATGTGGACAAAGCTACGGCGTTGATGGCTGTCATTATGCGAGTAGTGTGTGTCAGGTGTGTGTGTGTGAAATGCTCCTGTATATGTCACTCACAATTAAACAACAGCCACATCTCTGTCATGTCTTTCCTGAATGCCTCAGTCACTTTTCCTTTCTCATTTTTCCAGGATGTCTTCCAAGCGACCAGCCTCTCCATATGGGGGAACAGATGGAGAGGTAGTCATGGCGACGAGCAGACAGCGATTGGAGGATGAAGAGGTTGACGGACATGCTGTCATTCACTTGCCCCTGAGTACGTACTGCAGAAAAGTGTCCCCGCGATCTCCGCGACTGCTCGACAGCCCCCCAACACTACACGCGAACATGGTAGGTCTCTACGCTCAGAACTCTCTCATTCGATTGGACGAGGTCAGCCCCTCCCACTTGGTTAATATGCATTTGTTTGACTCCTCCTTCTTAGAATAAACCACTCCCATTGTCTCTCTCTCACTTACACTTTTGGCATGGAAATGCCCATCACGCTTCGATGATGTCATAGGCAGATGCAGCGAGACAGGACGTCTATTTGAATGTGGCCAAAATGACTCATAAGCTTGGCTGTTCATTTGTCATTTTGGAGTGTGAGTTCATGATGGGTCATTGTAGTCATGAAGGATATAGACTGTATCAGACTTTCAAAGCTGTAAGATGAAATATAAGCGAGATGGACCCTGTGACCCCAAAGCGTAATCCTCACGTTAACACGCACCTGAGCTCTAGTATCTCTTCAGTGACCTTTCGCCCAACTCTGCTATCTCTTCCTCTCCATAAACACAGGCTTCAGGAATCAATTTGGCTGTAAAACAATGAATCAGTACTTAAGGAACTTAACGGTAAGCTAATTCTGCAATTAACTGTGATTACAGTGCACGCTGGACTCTGCCGTTTTGGAACCGTTTCCTACAATAAACCAAAGTCCTCGAGCTTTCTCACTCAAGCGTCTCCGTTTTCACTTTATACACTCAGCTTGCAGTGCGGTGTGTTTGTTTATGACTGTCGGTTCTCGCATATTAGTGCCTTAAAGTACTAATATGCTCCATTTACGTTCTTAAAAATAAAGGTTCCAAAAGGAGGTTTTCTCAGCGATGCTGTAGAACACTTTTAGTTTCCCCCAAGAACCTTGCAGTAATTTTTTTTTTAAATGGGTTAATAATCTGAAGCACCGTTTTTCACTATAAAGAACCTTTTATTCAATGGAAGGTTCCATGAATGTTAAAGGCTCTTTATGGAACCAGATGCCAATAAAGAACCTTTATTTTTAAGAGTGTATGGGAAGGTAATGCACAAAGATGTAGCCTACCTTTTGAGGGTCCTGCCTTGGTGACGAACTAATTTTGCATTTTGCAGAAAGTTTAGATTTGACAGAGATTTGCATTTGGCTGTTGTAGATGATGATGTCAGTTCAGTAATACAAATAATAAAGCTGCACATGAAACCAAACGAATGTTTATTATACAATGGATTGTTATTCTTATTAATCATAACGTGAATATGTATCAGCAGCAGTGCAGTGCTTGTAATTGTTGTGTTATCTGAAAGACTAGACCGCTGTCTCTGTCTCTCGCGCTGACATGACAGACGTGGCATGAAAAAACACGCGCGCTGTATTTGATGTGGATTAATAAAGCGTATCCGTCTCGAGCACGGGCGGATTTTGGGGAAAGCAGGCTGGCATGTGTGAGACATTAAGTTTCCCTGAGCCGATCCGCGCTGACTGGCAGAAGAGTTGAGTGAGAGAGAGATTTACACGAGTGGGGACTCGGAGGGGCTTTGTCACGGCAATTGTATAAAGTGATAGGGAAGTGTAAATCAACTCGGCGAGTCCCTGGGTAGCGTGCAGCGGAAGATTACCGCTTTATCTTGTCGTTGTAAATTAACATAGCAGCGGCGCACACGCGCTTCAGATTCCGCTGACCTCTTCATCCTGAGAGAGAGAGAGAAAGAGAGGTGCGTTTGTGATGATGGGGTCAGCGGGGCTGAAGCGCGCACAACCTGCTACAATAGAAGTCGGTGCGCGTCCCCGGCGGTCTGTAAACTGCTGCCAGTTTTTTACAGGCGGGAAGTAGAGGGCTTTGAAACCGAAAGGTGGGAAGAGCTTTACACGCGGGTGATAATAGCGAGGTGTTAATTACTCTCCCTTTTGTCCGGTTAATGAGGAGAGGCATTAAGGGAAGACGTGTGTTTCACGTTAAGATTTGTTCTTAGATGCGTCAAATGCAGCCTTTTAATGTCAAAAACAACAGAATATCCTTTAACCTGACTCCTGTACAGTGTTTATAAAAGATTGCTTTTGTAAAAATCTAAACGTTTTCATAAATGTAATTTTCCCCAAAACACCATTAAAAGCTAATTTAATTTGTTGATATATTTCTAGCTTATTATATTTTTATTTAATATTTTAAATACTTTAATACTTTATTTTCAATTATTTTTAAATATTTTAAAGGTTTTTATATTCATTTGGATTATAATAAAATAAATTATTTGAGTTTTATTGTCGATCCAAGCCCAGATATTTAAAGAGAGAAACCAACAAAACGGTCAGAGCAGTTAGTAAAACTAAACTCAAATTTTATAAAATTTTTTATGTGGAACATTTTGCTTCAGTGTCACAAATATTCATTTGCGTTCTTATATTTTTCATGTTTTTTTTCCAAACAAATATAATCTACAAATCTGACAATCCTTTGAAATTGTAGTGTCACACAAATCTAATTAATTAAAGTCTTTTTCTATGGCATAACCTCATGTAAATTCAGGGATGAGACAATGCAAGGTGTTTGAAAGTGTGTGAAGCGTTTGTAAATCTTCATCTGTGTGTGTGTGTGCATGCTCACGGCAGGATCAGGGCTGACAATAGCTCGGTTGAGCCAGGTTTAGAGGTGAGCGGATTGCGAACACACGGTAGAGATCAGCAACACGGGCTTAAGACAACAGACGAGGCGTCAGCACCGCAGGAGAGGAGAGATGTCCAACTCGAGCGTGTGTGCTTCAGCAGCGGGACTCTTGACAGTTTAACTGATAGCAAGCGTAGAGGTTAGTTTCCTAGCGCGTGGTGAACGCGAGCCAGAGAATCACACGGCCGTGCTTTGAGTCAGTCTCATTAGCTAGACGCTACCTGTGTCAGAATAATAACTGGATTTAAGTTAGCATATGGAAGCATGAGAGAGAAGGAACGAGAGAAACGCTCTGAGGGAAACAGGTTGGAATCCTGCGGAGTACAGGAAGAACAAACATAAAAAAAAGAAGGCGGCAGAAAAAAGGTGGCATTTGGAAGAAAGCTGGCATCTGTGCTGAAGGGAGAAGATGAGAGGAAAAAACTAGAGGGGGAAAGAAGGCATTTTGCTTTCTTGGCAAGAGTTGAAGTGTGTTTAAATGTGCTCCTGTCACACATGAGCTTAAGAGGACAAAAGTTGGTTAATTCTGTCGCCATGCTGCCGTGGTTCAGGGATGAAGAGAGGGTCGTGGAGAGAGGCGCAGTTTCAGCCTTTCCACGAAGAACTGACATCTGCACAACTAAAAGCAGAACCACCCACACCGCACAGAACGGCACATCAGAAATGCATATAAATACATATACTCAGCTTTGCACACTTATTCATACGCGGCGGAAAATCACGCGCGCACACGTAATCGACGGACAAAATAGGGGTACTTAACCTGAATATCAACCCTACTGTAGACCTGTTACTCACTGTGCCTTATATTTAAAGATGGGGGAAAGAAAGCAACACAAGCCATTAGCTCATCTGCTTCTTCATCTGTCCGAGACTTAGTGTCAAGGCCGAAGACATGAAAAAGTGAAGGAATACAGTTTCCTCCGCCGCCATCTCACCTTCTATTCGAATTGTTTTCTAGACATCTCTGGAGAAAGACGCGAGCTGCTGTTTGAAGTAAGCAGTGGATTAGATAGATTGGAAGTGACAGGTGTGACCGTGTTTTAAGATGCATGCCACACTAAAGCAGGCAGAGAGAAACGCCTGCCATTCTGCCACTCGCTCCCACTCTCTCCCTGGCTTTCTCTCTCTAGTCCTCCCCTCTTCTTTCTATCTTTCTTCTCTGTTAGTTCTTTAACAGCTAGTTGACAGTTTTGTTTGCGGATGACGGGGTGATCTCGCACCGCTTTGGTCATTTGTGACTAGTACAGAAGTCTCCTAATCCCAGTTCGACTGGCCTGACTGGAGCTGATGGGGACGAGAGGGATGAAACGAAGGGCTGTGTCTGGAAAAACGTGCCTTTTTGCAGGCAGATTACAGAAACGGGGGAAATCAGTATGCAAGCTGTCATATTTTCTGTGTATCATAAAAGCCTGTTAAGATCTTTTAAGCATGCCAGTCATCAGTCTGTTTGTGAATGAGTATCAACGTGAAATGTCTCTTAGTATGCGTTCGTAGCAAGTGTTTTCAGTTTAATTAGTTCTACAGTAATTATTATTATCATGATGATGATGATGGATTGTGACGAGTCAATCTGTGTGATATGTTGAGTGTAACTGGATATATGGAGTGTTGACAACCGTATGTACTAGATCTGAATATGATGTTTGTTTATTTATCTGTTTTGTGTGAAAGAAAGTGACTAATGTTATTACATGGCATGTAAATGACTAAAATAAGTTAAATGGCAACATTCAGTGTTGTCATTTAATAATTTTACTTAACATAAATAACTTTTATAAATATATATATATTTTTAAATGTAATAATTATCAAATAGTAGAAAAACACTAAAAGAAAAGAGTATATTAATAATTTTTTTAGTACTAGTACTGTAATAAAAACTACTAATAATCATTATTTTAAAAACTTGTTTCCATTGCATTTAAACTTTCCATGTTGTATATAATTAATTGTTTTGTAAATAGTAGCAGATATTGTTAAAAATAAATAGCGTATAATTGTCTGAGATTAAATAACTGTCAAAACATTTTAAAATGGTAAGACATTTAGTCATTTAATAATTTTATCACATAAAAATGAATGATTATAAATAAATAGTAGTAAAACACTGTTACAAAAGCACATTAATAAATGGCTAGTACTGAAAATAAATACATGATTATTATTATTATTTATGTATTTTGTAGCATTTAAACTATTTCCATGTTGTATATAATGAATTGTTTTGTTTGCGGGGCCAAGTCAGATCATCTAACAGTCTCACTTTACTGATAAAAATAAAATTGTATTTGCCACTATTCTGTCTTGTGAAAGTCTTGTGTAATTTGTGTCGCATTAAGCTTTAGTAAATGAACCATCTGCTGCTCTCTGTTCACTCTCTGAGTTAATGATTAAAAACAGATGTCATTATGAAAATCTAAGCGGGTAATAGACCTGCACAGGGAACTTGATCAATCTTGTGAACTTCAGTTTGGACTGAGGACATTTTGCTTTGCGTGACGGATGCAGGTGGCACGAAGTAGCTGATGTTGATTGTTGAGGTGTAAATCTGGTCACTGGATCCCAAACACGTCAGTGGGATTATGCTATTGTCTGATTGGCTGTGGCCGCCGTCAGTCACGCGGGTGGTAAGGTAGATAATAGATGTGGATTAACCAAAGATTAACCCTGATTAAAGGACTTGGACTGTTGACCTCGTCTCTAAATACCTGACTTGTTTTGTAATTAAACTTTATAAAGGAGATCCGGAGCTGGGCGAAAGTAATGTGGTATGTGTGTTTGTGTGTGATAATTCATCATCATAAATCTCCACATCTGTCATTGACCCATTTTACAGTGTGTGCATATACTTGCAGAAGCAAAAAACACCAATATTTAAAATTAATAAATTAATAATAAATGTATATACAGTATAAGCATTAGCGTTTTGTGCTGTTGCATTTATTAAAGTTTCACTTTCAGACAACCTAAAAAATATTATTTGTGTAGTAACATCTAAATGAACTGGTTTTATTCAAGTCAAAATGTTTTTGTTTAATATGACTATATTAGTTTATACAAATAAAAAAAAATTTTATGGTTTAGATTAGTTAGAAATAGCCCCTTAAGACAACCACTGCACAGTTTCCCTTTTTACAGTGTACAAGCCTAATTCTGAGCCGCATTACATAAGAAACCATAAGATGAGAACTGCTATATATTTGGACGTAAGATCAATGCATGAAACGCTGAAGATGGTGATTGATATCGCAGCTGTCAGAAAAATGTGGTTGAAAAACTTGGACGTTCTTGTGTGTTTGGAGCTGATTCAAAGTAGAAAAACTTCCCTTCTCAGAGAAAGAGACAGTTCCTGTGATGGTGAAACGAATGAAACTTTTCGCCGCTAATGATTTTGTCTAAAGAGACTTCAGACCGACAGAGGCAAAGAGAGAAAGAGAGACTTTCTACAATACAGATGGGCAGATGAGGATGAAAGTAAATCTAAACATGCCTCAACACTCAGGAACAGGACGAAATAATTAGTGAAGGCCTGTTTGTCGCTTTGTTTAACACCCTGCCTCTCTCTCCGTCTCTCTGTCAGGTTCAGGATGGCAGTAAAGGCCTGGCCCTGAGCCCCTACCCCCAGCACAACTCTTCTACCTCACCCAGTAAGCAGCAGCAGCAGGAGGAGGGGTCCATGCGGCCGGGGAGCGAGCCCAGCTCTGCTTCAGCTCTGGGCACCCCGGAGAGACGCAAGGGCAGCCTGGCCGACGTGGTCGACACGCTCAAACAGCGCAAGATGGAGGAACTCATCAAGAACGAGCCAGAGGGTGAGTGAGGGAGAATTGAATATGTGTTTTGACACACATCGTCACTTTTAACTCAAATTTGCAGCGTGTTTTCAAAGTCTTGAGAGCCGAACAACGATATAACCTGTTCACTAATAAACATGTCATGCCGTGGTCATTGTTTGCAAATTTTGAGTAATACAAAGTCATTTAATTTAGCATCTTTATCACAAGCTACATTTGATGCCTTGGAAAGGTTTATTTATTTAATTTTAACATTCATAGCGATTAATTTATAAATAATTTTGATAACTTTGAAAGAATTGTTCATATATATTTATTATGCTATCACAAGCTACTTTTAATGGCATGGAAAAAAATATTTATTTATTTATTAGAAAATTGTGTAAACATTTATCATTTAATTATTTATTTATTTATTTTAAAATTCATAGCAATTGATTTATAAATATGTTTGCTGTCATTGAATGAACTGTTAATATATATTTATTATGCTATCACAAGCTACTTTTAATGAAAAGGAAAAAATATTAATTAGAAAATGATGTAAAAATTATTTTTCGATCTATTTAATTAAATGCTTGATATTAAATATTTAGATTAAATTAAAGTCACTTTATATTTTTTGTGAATACAGTCATTTTATTTTAGCGCGAGCTGTTTAGCATTGTCACATCAGGCTTTTTTCCAGTCTAGAGAGTTTCTTTGATTATAGTGGAAGCTATCTAGCTTTGAGTTGTTGTTGTTCTGAAAAGTTGGAGACCAGCAGGTTTTAGGAGCCATTGGGCAGCCAGAACCAGTTTTTCTATGTGGAAACGGCACATGGAACAGGTCCAGATTGGGCATCGGCTCCGAAACCAGCACTGGCACCCTGTCGGTGGAAAAAGTTCACTGTATTAGATTTTCAGAAGACATTGGCACACGTGTGTCTTATTGTGATGAAATTACAATGTGAAACTGGTGTGAAGGATTTCATGGAGAGCATCTCCCATTCTGTCTGTCTTTCTTTCTCTCCCTGACTCACTCGCGCACACTCATTCTTTCTTCCATCTATCTATCTCCCATCCCATCATTCCTGACTAACAAATTCTGCTTAACGAGAGCTGTTGATAAAGTCAGACCTTTGTTTAAGCAGGCAGGGATCAGCTGTTCGGAGCCATTGTGTGCCACATTTTGCATATTCATTTCAGACTGATTACTGAGAGAACGGCTCTCAGCTCCTTCCACAGGATCTCTCTCTCTCTCTGTCTCTTACATCACACCACACTCACTCTGTAATTAGAGGCCAGTTCCTCATGAATAATCAGAACCTGCTCCCTATGTGAATTAGCCAGTGTGTGTGCAAATACACATGTGAACATACTGACGATGGATGGATGGATGAATATACACAGGTTTATAGATAGATAGATAGATAGATAGATAATGTGTGTATGTATTGTTTTCTTGCAGTGCACACTGAAGGTTATTTACAGCTGAACCTGCTGTCAACCATGTGAAGAATGCAGACAAACAAAGCTAGCATTCACTGTAGTATTTATATACAGCAGGGTTTAGTGTGCTCTGTTTTTTGAATGTATGGGTGTGTGGAGGTGTTTTACAACTGTTGCATTACTCCATGCTTTGTCCTAGGGTGAGGTCACACTAGATTTTGCTCCACTGACTTCCATTCATGCTCATGAAACAACATTTTGCTGCGCATACTAAAGTTAAGCAAATTCACATTTCACAAAGACTTTTGCCCTGGAAAGAATTTAAACATTACTGTTAATGTCTTGGCTGAGAAAACACACACACTTCAAAGCTGGAGGTTTGCGGTTTTATCTAGTGTGATCACTGCTTCACCCTGTAAAGCTCTAAACATGAAGAATCAGTTTTATTGAAGGCAATATTGTCCCAAACTGCCTGTTAGTTTGTTGATTTTGCTCCCATATGTGCTTATTTTTTGTTGTGTAAATGTTAACCAACTTGTTTATGAACATATTTAGAGTTGCCTGAAGATATTGTTGATCTGGAGAATTTTATTTTACTTTATGCTTTTTTATCTCTGATCTACTAGCCAAGGATGTGTAAGACTTTGTAAAAGACAGGCGTTGGAGTTTTTCTGGCACTGATTCTGCTCATTTGTGTGAGTATCCTCCTATTCTATGAAACCAAGCAGGATTTTGCTTCATTTACATTTGATTTTAATAGTTACGTCAGAGAAAATAGTTACATTGGAGAAAGCCACAAGGTCAAAGCAAGAGTCTGGCTGTGAAATTCAACAGCTGTCGTATACAGGAAGCCAGGAAAAATGTAAGACGACATATATAAGATACTTATAGAACTCTTGAGAACAAGACAGCAAGCAAGCAATAGAGTCCATTAGCAGGAGACTACAGTAGCGCATTATCTCTCTACTTTCTGTTCAAATAAAATGTGCAAACAAAAGAAGCCCCGGTCCCTCAAGAAGCACGGACACAGAGAAAAAGAAGCAGAAAAGAAAAGAGAAGAGAGAGAAATGAAGAGGGGGAGGTGGGCAGTGCATTGAGCCAGGGCTCTCATAGCCTGATAAAAATCCCTTTTCAACTCGCCTGTCCATTGTTTGCTTGTGTACTTCACAAAGACCATTAGCTGCAAACGGCAGGTTATGATGAAAAATTAATGAATGCTTTAATCATTATGAAAGGGCCGTATTATTACTGTTCCCTTTCTCTCTGTCTTTCTTGCCACCCTCCCTCTCTTTTTCACACGCTGCTTCTAGCCGGATCAATCACACGCTCGCATGTACATGCACATTCATGGAAAGTCGCTCGCGCGCTGGAAACGTAGCTCTGGCTTGTGAAGGGAAAGTAGAAAGGCGGGAGGAAAGGAAATGGGTCAGAAAACAGTAAGAGAAAAGCGAGAGGGGGGCGTATGCGTCTCGCTGCCCGTGTGAAATCGGGAGTGTGTTAGTCAGCGTGTTAGCGAGCCGTTTGCTCACCTGTCCCCCCTCGCTGCTCCACTTCCCCTCAGATAAACAGCCCGAGCTGAGTCGTTTGTTATGACCAGATACCAGCCAAACTTATACTGGGTCAGGCAAGAATGTGTGTGCGCATGTTTGACCAAGAGCAGAGCATTTGGCCTTATAAACGAGCGTCCGAGTCTGTCCCTAATCGACCGGCCGCAATGATACAGCACATCTAGACACAGTTTCCGCATGTACCTGTTACTGCGCAAACACATTTTTGCATTGCTGCAGGTGGGAAAACAGTTGGTCGACCGAAATGAATGGTTAATACCAATAGACAGTAGGGTGGCCTTATATAATAATATTTGACTAACTACAGTCAGAAATATTAATCTATAATTTATGATCATTATAACATTATAGATAATATATAGCATATAAGATTAACTCAATTTGGCTTTTAAATTAATTAAAAAATAATTCATTTAACATTAATTATTTAATTGAAAATATTTATTTAAAATATTTAATTAAAAAAACATTCAGTACTCTTTTGTAACATAAAAATTCTTTATTTAGATAATAATATTTCCATCTTCTTTACACACACACACACACACACACACACACGCACATATATATATATATATAATGCTGTATTGACTTCTAACTACAACCATTCAGGTGTTTTGTTCTCTTTTTTTGTTGCTTTACACAATGTTTATGCTAAATTTACCGAAACAAAAAATTACAATAGGCCATGTGTATTTATCTTTTGACAATGATCAGGCAGTTATTGGCTTGAAATGGTAAAATATTGTGCAACTGACCCATATGACCCATGTGTATCATTTAGTCACCTTTTTTCATTTCATGCCTCTTCTACTCATTTCTCTGTATGTGTGTAGCAATATATTTCAGAAGTGCAGCAAGAACAGCTTCCTGCAGCGTGAGTGTGGTGTGTCAGGCAGCAGCGTGCTGGAGTGTGTGTGTGTGTTATTAGCTTTAGTAATGGAAAGAGGGCAGGAGGGCTGTCGGGTTCAGAAGGGAGCGCAGTGTCTCTCTCAGAAGTCTGGACAGCAAACACACACACACACACAGAGCACTTCCTGTGTCATCCATCCACACACAAACACACATACTCTTAAAGACTAACTGCAATCAGACAGCTATACTGCAAATGAACTTCATCCTCATCATGAACTACTCCAAATCTTTGAGAAGCCTTCTTCTTCTCCTCTCATCAGTAACTCTCATCCAGAGTCCATAAAGTTATTTTTGCCATACCAGCCAATGACGGGTAAATTAAGAAAAATTTCCAGTCGTAAAAAAAAATATTTATAGACCGTGAAACTTTTGCATTTTGCTGTATGTATTTGTGTATGTGTCTGTGTGTATATATATATATATATGTATATGTATATGTATACATGTGTGTGTGTGTGTGTGTGTGTGTGTGTGGTAATGAAATTATATTTCCAACTATAACATTTTCTTATTTTTTTACCCAATATTTATCTATCCATCTCTACTATAATATAAAATTAAAAATACAATTACAAACAATGTAAAATAACTATGTAAAATATTCAAAAAATCTAAAAATAAGAATATGCTCATATATATATATATATATATATATACAGTCGTGGTCAGAATTATTGGCACACTTGGTAAATATGGGTTCTGGAGAGATTCTGGATGAAGGAATTGTCTCTGATCTCTTGTCAGGTGCTTTCTAACATCATCAGGCATTATAGGAGAAAACTCAGAGCTGTTATTATGACAAATGGAGGTTTCAAAAAGCATTGAATAAAAGGGTGCCGTTAATTGTGTCCAATGTGTATTAGAGAAAAACATTTATGTCATAATGTTATTTCCCCCCATTTTAAATTCTTATTCTCCAATGAAAGGTTAGATTTATGTGATATTTTAAAATAAAAGATCAAAATGATTAACAATGCAGATTTATTTTCACAGCCTTCTTTGATCATATTTACCAAGGGTGCCAATAATTATATATATATATATATATATATATAAATTTGTGTATATTTTATATACTTACTTTACTGTATATAATTATCTAATA